GGGGGTGTTTTGGGGTTATTTTGGGGTCTCAGATCCCGTTCCCTGCAGGTTTTTCCGCCGGGGGTGTTTTGGGGGTGTTTTGGGGGTGTTTTGGGGTCTCAGATCCCATTCCCCCCAGGTTTTTCCGCCGGGGGTGGGTGACCTTCGACCGCAGCGTCAACATCAAAGAGATTTGCTGGAGCCTCCAGAACATCCGGGTACGGATTGGGATCGGGGGATTTCGGGGAATTGTAAGGTTATTTAGGGTTATTTATTTAGGGTTATTTAGGGTTATTTATTTAGGGTTACCTAGGGTTATTTAGGGTTATTTTAGGATTATTTTAGGGGAATTTTTTATGGTTATTCAGGATTATTTATTTAGGGTTATCTAGGATTATTTAGGATTATTTTAGGGTCATTTTAGGGTGTTTTTTTAGGGTTATTTAGGGTTATTTTAGGGTCATTTTATGGGTTTTTTTTTTTAGAGTTATTTAGGGTTATTTTGGGGTTATTTAGGGTTATATTTATCCCCCCAGCTCTGTGAGTGTGAGTTATCCCCGGGAGTGAACCAGGATTTAACGAGAAGGGTCCGGAATGTGTCTGGGATCACCCAGCACCGGGGGGGGGATTTTAGGGGTCCTGGGCTGGATTTTTGGGGTTGTTTAGGATTGTTTTTATTTCTCCAGCTCCGTGAGCGTGAGCTGAGCCCTGGAGTGAACCGGGATCTGACCAGAAGGGTCAGGAATGTCTCCGGGATCACCCAGCACCGGGGGGGGATTTTAGGGGTTTTTTAGGGTTATTTAGGGTTATTTGTGTCTCTCCAGCTCTGTGAGTGTGAGTTGAGCACTGGAGTGAACCGGGATCTCACCAGGAGGGTCAGGAATGTGTCTGGGATCACCCAGCACCGGGGGGGGATTTTAGGGGTTATTTAGGGTTATTTGTGTCTCTGCAGCTCCGTGAGTGTGAGCTGAGCCCTGGAGTGAACCGGGATCTGACCAGGAGGGTCAGGAATGTGTCTGGGATCACCCAGCACTGGGGGGGGGATTTTAGAGGTTATTTAGGGTTATTTAGGGTTATTTAGGATTGTTTTTATTTCCCCAGCTCCGTGAGTGTGAGTTATCCCCCGGAGTGAACCGGGATTTAACGAGAAGGGTCCGGAATGTGTCTGGGATCACCCAGCACCGGGGGGGGATTTTAGAGGTTATTTAGGGTTATTTAGGGTTATTTTTATTTCTTTAGCTCCGTGAGTGTGAGCTGAGCCCAGGAGTGAACCGGGATCTCACCAGGAGGGTCAGGAATGTGTCTGGGATCACCCAGCACCGCCCCATCGTGCGCCACGACATCAAACTGGCCGCTCGCCTGGTTCAGGCTCTGGACGCCCGGGCCCGGCTCTGGAGCCCCCCAGGAACGGGGGACCCCTCCCAGGAAAACCCCCCGGGAGAGGGGGGGGACGGGGGGGACGGGGGGGACCAGAACAACCCCCCCCC